TTTTTTTTTTTTTTTTTTCTCTTTCGAGATCTTCGAGCCAGATAAATTTTGGATCGTGCACGGAGTCGTCCATCTTCCTTTATGACTGAAGTGAAGTTTCTATCAATTCGAAGTTTAATCTTTTTGTACGATTTTTCAGATCAAATTTGAGGAGACGATGAAGATGATTTAATTGTGATTGTTGTTAAAATGTTAGATTAGAAATGTAGATTTTTTCTGAACTATTTATTTTATAAATGAATTGTTTCTTTTTTTTTTATAATTCAAAAGTTTCTTGTTAGAACATAGAATTATTTATTTTTGTAAAAGAATCTAGACGTTGGCCGCTAATTAATTGATACATCAACGAAAACAGATACAAAGAACTTGTATGAGCACTTTACATCACCCCGAGTATGGGAATTAATCTTGTGAAACAATAGAAGAACAACGTGGAAGACAAATTTTCCTTTCCATTTGCAGCCAACCCTCAAATAGCGCTCTACTCGGAAGCACACGAGCATAGCGAAGATCCTTTCCTGCGATAAATCGAACACACTTTCAGTATGTACGCCGAGGAAAGATGAGTGTAGAGCCGACCAATAGGGTTCCAACAACACCATCTTGATAACAATACCCCGCTGTTAAACAATTTGACAACGAATTCGTCTTCGGAAAGCCAGCCATTATTTCTAGTCGTTAACTGGTATCCCACTTTTCTTACGAGTACGAAAATTAAAAGTTTCTAAAAATTTTCGAAAAATTTTAATAATTGGAATGGAAATTTTTTAATCTATAATTTATATCAATATATATATATATAAACGTTTCTTTCTTTGTATTACTTATATCAAAAAAAAAAAAAATTCGTATAAAAAAATTACTTACGTGAAAATAATAAAAATAAAGTTTCTCACGTGGCCTGCGAAATAGTAGTATCCGCTGCTCAACTGTATATCGGTGCAATCTTCATCCAGGCGCTGTAACTTTCTACAAGTTCGGCAAACGTTGGCCAAACCAGTTTTTACACGAAACAAAATTTATTACGATCCAGTGAAATTACCGCAATATTATATTATTCCTCTTTCGTTTATTACTGCACGATATCGTGATCTATAATTGTATGAATCACAGGCGACGTGTAAGGATCGTGATTGTCTCATAAAATCACACAATGCGAAGAGAAATCGCGATATCTCATAATTCATCCGTACGAAGTTACCGGTTAACGATATATTCGTAAAGCAGCATTTATCCCCTAGGCAAATGAAAAGTAATTTAATTGAATCGTGTAATCGTGTATTAAATTCGATATTATTACGGTACGATCGAAATAAACGAAATAAAAAAAATAAAAGTTAAACGCGCTACTTGCAAAGTAACTCGGTGTTACTACACGTCCAACGACAAATTGCGCATCACCGCTCGAAGATAACTGCCGTAATAACGCCATCCTAAGCGCCTGGAGATCAATTGACCGTGTTGACATAGTAGGATACTTACGTATCGAGGTAGCAGATCTGATTAGCCGTATGAATGCGACGGGAGAAAAGAAAACGCGAAGCGAGCGAAATAATTTCAACGATTTCTCGGGAAGACCTTAATTCCCCGAGGCATCTGCATATCGTGCAGGTCGCAAGAGCAATTCGAACGATTATTTCGGTGCCACGTGCCTCGGACTTCTTCGTCGTACGCCACGTCCCTCCTCTTCGCTCGTTCGCTCTCGTTATCGGACCAGTGGACAAAGATGGCGCGAGTTGACGCGCGACACGCGGGACAAGGAGGAAAATACGAGATGCACCTGTCTGTCGCGAAGGCAAGGTGCCACGCCGAAGGCAACATTCGCTCGCGCCAACCGCGATAGCGAGCTAATGAGCCACGGCGAAACCGCTATACGTTTTCTTGCGCACCGTTCCCTCTGTGTGTACGTACACTTTAGCCACAGCGATGGATTGGCACACCATCGAGATAAAGACGGAAAAGTAATCCCTCGTTTTTATCTTTTTTAATTAGCAACCGGGTAGGAGCGAACCAGAGAGAATCGTGTCTTCGGTTTTCTCGGTTTTTATTCTCATAGTGGTTAACCAGACCTTAACTGTTTAACCGAGTTAACGTCTCGAGAGATGTTGGTCTTTCAATCCGTTTTGTGGATCGACGCAATTATCGGTCGCAAAACGTGTCGATCTGGATAAATATCACGGTTCGATGAACGAATTAAACTTGCTGGAATTTTTTTATTTCTTCTTTTTTTTTTTTTTTTTTTTTTTTTTTTTTTTTTTTATGTATATGGAGAATTTTTAATTTCATGGTTCGACACATTGAGATGAAGACATTCGTTTCTGAGATCTTGCGTGCACGAGCTTCTCGAATGTTTTTCAACGAACGATTTTCGCGTGTCTCCTGGTTATTTGTGAATGTGAAAGAAACGTTATTATCGGTTGAAAAAAATAGTTAAACATCGATGAAACATTTATACGAAACGATGCTGTTTAATTACCGTTATAATAAAAAAAACAGCATTAATTGTCAGTCGACAGATAATTCGAAATATATCTTTATCTCTCTCCGGGCGGTCTATTCTTTATACGATTTTAATTGTTAATAAAATGCGATGACCTTAATTCCACATCTTGTCACGTCATCATAAATTAGCAGGTGCAGCAGGTCATATCAGACCCTCAACTTATTAATCTACTCTACAGAAGAATTTAATTTCACAATGTTATTTATCGCTAATCACTTTTAGTTTGTAATATCGGAATACAACAATTGAAGTGTGAATCAAGAATTTATAACTCGATAAATAAAGAGCAATATTTCATCGAATCAAGATAAAAGAGTTAATCACTTATAATATGATATAACGTACGATTGATGTATACGTATAGGATGTCGTATATTTGATTTAACAGGAAGTGATTCTACGAACAAAGATAAGTCAGAAGAAAAAAAAACAAAAAGATAATGCGATTTATCTTCTCACAAGCTTCGAAGATTCGTAAAATACACAAAGTTGAAAATCGTCTTTTTTTCTCGGCAACATCGATCCAATCTTTTTCCTATCGAAAGTGGCGAACTTATTGGCAAAAATATCCGCGTTATTATATTATACTGCGCGAAAAGATGGAATTAAGGAATTAAATTTCTGTCGAAGTGGCGGCCAGTCATGCACGAATTTACCTGTGCCATAATAACAATCATCGAGCTTAAGTACGAACGTAGCTCGATATTGGGGTAATTCAACAACAAGCTGAATAGCTGCTCAGAGATCCCATCGACTTCGCGCCTCTTTTCACACATTGGTGGATGCCATCAGCCATCCACCAACCGATAAGCTTGAAAAACAAAATAAAAGAAAAACAAAAAATTTCCTTCGAGTAAATTTTATCGTGGTTTATTCGAATTCCACGTGGAGGAAGAAGGACGAACCTGCATCACTTTTATCCGGGCTCATTTTCGATAAGTATGTAAATGCGGCGTACATTTTATCAAAAATTCAAAGGTTTAAATTTATTGAAATTTTTACAAGTTTTATAGCGGATATCGATAACGAGGATTAATCACGGCGAAGCACGAGAATCAAAATCAGAGATAGGGAAAGAAATCGATAATGAGGAGAGAAGGAAGAAGAAGAAGTAGTTGGAGAA